AATGCCTTCAGGGCAGGTTTGGCTGGCTTGAGCTGTGGGGATTGAACCACAGCAACCTGAGCCTGACTGCTTTGTTGAAGCAGCCAGTACTGTGGTTTTCAGTGTAAAGCTCTTGCTTCCTTTGTTAGATTTCCTTTGTTGATTCCTCAGAATTTCATCTTTTTGGCTGTTATAGGGAAAGGCGTTGTTTTTCCAATTTCTGCCTGAGTTTGTTATTTGTGTACAAGAATGCTACTGATTTTCTATGCTATGGTAATGAATTTGGTTACTAAATGCAAAAGTCTTTTGGTGGAGTTTTTGTGGTCGTCTAGGTAGGACATCATGTCATCTGCAAATAATGATAATTAAACTTCTTTTCCTATCCTTAGTCCTTTTATTTCTCTCGTCTAATTGGTCTGGCTAATGTTTCCAGAATTATTATTTTATTTTATTTTAAATTTTTATTTTTTTCCCATAATTTTATTGATAATCCAGAACTATTTTGAATGGGACTGGTGACCATAGACATCTTTGCTTGTTCCTTATTTTGGGGTGAAAGCTTCTAGTTTTGGTCCATCCAGTGTGATGGTGGCTGTTGATGGCTTTCATTGAGATAAAGACCATCTATTCTAATTGTCTTTTTTTTTTTTTTTAAATCATGAATGTGTGTTGTAGTCTGTCAAATTCTTTTACAGCATCTATTGAGATGATTTTTGTCTTTGGTTCTGTTAATATGGTGTATTATACTTATTTGCATGTAATGAACTATCTCTGTATCCTTGGATGAATTTTGGTTATGATGTATACTCTTCTTGATGGTTTGCTGCATTGTCTGCCAGTATCTTATTGAGGATTTTTTGCCTTTATGCTCATTATGGAGAGTGGCCCATAGTTCTCTTTTGTGGTTTGATACTTCTCTGGTTTTGGTATCAGGATAATGCTTGCTTCCAGGAATAAATTTTGGAGTATTGCTTCCTTTTCAATTTCATTATGGAGAGAAGTAGCACCCTTAGATTCCTAAATTCTTTCTTTTTGTAGAATTTATCAGCAAATTCATTACGGCCTCAACTTTGGTAATTCATACGTACTCAGGAATCTGTCCATTTCTTTTTTGTTTTCCATCTTTTTAGAATACACGTTCTTGAAATAGGTATTGAAAATCTGGATTCCTGCAGGGTTGATTTTGCTTTCACACTTTTCATTCCTAATTGCATGTATTTGAGTCTATTCTTTCCTTTTTTTGCATAAGGTTGGCTAGCTTTCTGTCAATTTTATTTAAACTTTTGAAGAACCAACTCGTTGATCCCCTGATTCTTTGCATTGTTTACTTAGTCTCCAATGTATTGATTTCTGCTTTGATTTTATTTTTTTCATTATTTTATTGAGACAAATAGCAATGAGACAGTTTCAAATCAAATTGGTATAACAGTTTCAATAATTAATAAATTGCATACTCTC